GGCTGAAATGGCATCAGCTTTCTCTTGAGCTGGTTGCTAAGTGTTCTAGAGCTCACTTTCCTTCAAATGTCATGTGCTGTGGTTTTCTGCCTGTTTTTTTGCTATTTTCCACTGAAACCTTGATGATAATAATTCAATTGCTCGGTTATTTCAAGTTTGGGGTTTTTATTTAAGAATAGATGCTGCTTTTGAACAGAGATTGGAGATGAATGGGCTGTCCCTGTCTTTTCCTTATCAAAAAAAGCAGGGAGTGTCACAGTAAGGATGTTCCTGCTGCTCTTCTACTTGTGTCAAAGAACTCTATTTTACAGAGAATCTGAGATTTTAAAATGTGCACAGAAAGATAGCTCTAATAAACAGGAAGAAACATATATTTCTATCATTCTGCTGTTTCCAGCTGTAGAGTTTCCAATTAAAATTCTTTCTTCACATAAGTAATATATCCAGCATAGATGACAACTTCTACCACAAAGTCCTTAATACCATTAATTATTTGATCTTTCTGAGGACATTATAAAAGGGATAAAAAAGAAAGGCAGAGTTCTGTAGGTATAAGCTGGCACAGCAGGGAGCTCCATTGATCTCAACATATTAGAGACTGCAAAGGAATTAAAGAATTGCAATAATGTGCACAGAGAAAATGACACTTAGATGCAAACTCACTGCTTCTGATTTTTACTTTTGTTCTGTTATTTTATTGCCTGGATTAAAATTGCAAGATGCATTCTAGCACAAAGTGGGAGATGAGGGAGTTGACTCCTGCCTGCTAATTTCACATCCTGATTGCTGTCAATGCCATTAAAGTCACTCGTGTCCAGAAAATCCAGAAGTAGCTTTGTATTAAAATGGTTGCATTTACATTTTCTCAAAATCTTTAATCAGAGAGCCTCAAAAGAGATCTGGGAGATTTGAGAACAGCTGGGGAATCTGCAAAAAGCACTTGGCCCTGTGGTAATGGTTGTGGTTATGCAAACTACCTTTGTCTAGAAACCACACTGGACATCTTTTAAAGACCTTCTGCATTGTCATTCTTTGTTCCAGCTGGGAAGGAGATATCCCAAAACAGTCTCTTTCATGGTTATTTCAAGAATCTGCTTGTAAATTTCTGAGACTGAGTCAGCCAGGGAGCTGAGCCACCAGGTTTTTTACGTGTAAAAAAACGCAAAAGTGAGCTCCAGCTCTGAGCTGTAGTTGTGCATGCTCAGAGCTGTGTTTCTGTGACCTGACACTGATGCTATGACATTTCTTAAGATCTTGCACCATTCCTGAAGCCTGCAGGACAGGATGCAGCTCCTGGTCCATCCTGGGTGGCTGGAACATCACCAGGAGAGGGCATTTCATAGGGCTCAGGCATTTCCATGAACTTCTCCAGCCCCTTCCCCACAGAGAAGGGCACAGAATTCCGGGAGGCTCATGGTGATGGAGAATGTGAAAGCTCTCCTGGATGTGCCTCACTGACTGCAGGAGCACTCAGTGTCTCTTTGCCTGTGGCAGACAGCTCAGAGCTCTGTGAGCAGAGACTTTGGGGGTTTCTGCACGTGCTTCTCCTTGTTTTGCTAAAAGCACCATCAATAAATAAACAACCCTTTAATGAGGGATCAGTGGGTTAATTGGGAAGATGAGGGAAGGAGATTGTCCTCTCTCCTGCTGAGCACCTGCTGCCAAGTTAATTCATGCAGCAGGGCTGGAGGGTGTTCCTGGAGCAGATTCCTGCTGTTGTTCAGCTCCAGGAGAGGGAAATGTCCACAGAAAGGAGAAAGCACATCAGATAAATTGAGTTTATTGCTGATCAGCTGGTAGGATTTATCTTCAAGTTCTAGGAACCAACTAAAATGTCAACGAGGGAGTCATTGCTCTTCACTCAAGAGCCACATCTCCAGCAACACCAAGGTATATTTATTTTAGGACATAGCAATGAAAGGGAGAGAATTTATTGCTAAACAAAATTCCTAAGTCAAATGGAGGACTTGCCACCCATTGGCAAAACAATTTTGTAATTTCGTTTTGCTTTTTCTATTTTCTGCTTGTCAGTTTCTTTTCTTTCCAGGCATAACATGTTCACTTATAGTCAAACGTGGTTTTTAACAAAGCACAGGCAAACAAACAAACAAACAAAAAAAAAACCAAACCAAAAACCAAACCACAACTAACAACAAAAAACCCAACCAAACAAGCCATTGGTAAGAAAAGAAAGTTATTCTCTTCTCAAATGACATCTCTTCTGAATAGCTCTGACTGTCCAGCCATTGCAACTTATTTTGTACTTAACTAACAGTTAATATCCCAAATGTCTTGCATGTCTTTTGCTTTTTCTCATTACTTCTGAACTTGAATTGATAACCATTACTGGTACCAGGTGGTTTCTTACACTCAGCAAAGCTTTGCTGATGGGCACTTTATTTTCTCCATCTCTCCTCCCTCTCACTTTTTCTGCCCCCTTCTATTTGTCTCTTTAGAGTACATCCTTCCTTTTTTACTCAGTTATACTCTGGTTTTGCTTATTAGAATTTTCTGCAGCAGGCAGGATGGCAGTGAGTGTCTCGGGAGGATGGAAGGGATCTGAAGCTCTTCCCAACAAGTGCAGCTTCTCTTTTTTTGTTCCTTCCTAAAGCAGGTGCCTTCCCTCTTTTGCATATCTGTACAATGCAGGGCTGTTGGGCTCAGCACATCAATCCTGTGCTCCAGCTTGGGCAGAGGACTGCAGCAGGTTCACAGGAAGGAACAGGCTGTATCACCACAGATTTTAGAGCACTGTGTAATAGAACTATAAAAGTCTCTGGAGTTTGGAATAAATGACTACAGATGTGACACCTCTGAGGGGGATTTGTCTCAAAGGAAGAGCTGGAACTGGAGCACCACATAGTTTTCTCTTTTGAAAGGCTAAAGCAAAAGATTAAGGATGCAGTTTATGCTGGGATATTTTTAATTTTGCAGGAGAATGACAACGGATGAATTTATTTTCCAGTATTTGAAAATAGAGAGGGGTGCTAAGGAGGAAAAAAAGGCTATCAGATTAAAAAAGGAACTTTTGCACATCATGTAGTCAATCTTACTTTGATAAAGCTATAAACACCCATATTCAGGGAAACTGAGCTACAGGATTATTTTCCCAACATAACTTTTCCTTTTTTTCCCTGCAGAGAAGGATGGCCCTGGAAATGGTTTAACTTGCACACATGTGTTAACTCCTCTGGCACACCCATCCAAGGAGGAATGCAGGGTTTGTTCACTTCCAAATGGGTGTTAATTACTGACTTCACACACGTGACATTTCCACTGCAGCACGCTGGCACATGTGACACTGGGTGCCATCAGGGACTTTGGTCCTATTTGAGTTGTCAGAATTCTTAAGAGCTTATACCTGAAATTTGTCTTCAGTAAACACATATGCTTCCTTTCATTTTAAAAAGGGCACAAGGAAGAACTAGACTATTTATTTAGCTCCAGAGTGCCATCAGTTTTGATGTGACTGTTTCCAACCGGAATAGGTAAAACCTCAGGATTCCTGTGGGGAAAAAAATTATTAGGAATACTTTTTGTTCTGCAAAGTGACCATATTCTGCTTTATGAAGGAGTTAATTTTTAGATTGACCTTCACGTGTTGCATTATCTAAATGTATGAAAATGCTGAAATGGTTACATCATCTGCAATATAAATTATAGTAAGAACCTCTCTAGGCCAAGTAAATGTGATTTGTGGTGATTCAGCTGTGGAAGGAATAGAAAATTGTAGAATCACAGAATGTTTGGGTGGGAAGGGACCTGATCTTCAGGAGAAACCTATTGTCATATGAGCACTCCCAGTGTTTTCTTTCCTTCCATGGGATGACATTTAGCATTGCACGTGTGCATTTTAGAGCGTAAAATATCGGGAGGCTTTCTTTTGTTCATGATGCAACAGGAAAATGAACCTCAACTCCTTCTTCCAAACAAGATGTGCAGCTTTATTTTTAATTTTAAATTGTCATTGGATCCCACAGCAACACTCACACAGACACACACACACACACGTTCCTCTTCTCTGTGCCTCGGAATTTTGTTATTAAACAAAACACAAACAGCAAACTAGTGCAAGTCAACATGCACTCTGTTAGTATCATTCCTAATATTAGATTATTATTTTATTCCACAGAATAAAGCAGTTAAAAGTTAGAGAATATTTAAGTATATAAAGAAATCAGAATTTTCTGCATATTTGACATGCCACTAATCATAGTTTATACTTGAGCACTATGACACATACAAGATTATTGATATTTGATACGTGTGTGTTTATAACTGTCTAGAATCTGTCATTTTAATAACTATACAAATTAAAATCTGTATGATTGCCCTAAGAAAAATCAACTTGTATTCATCTGATGGTGAACTGAGAACTGGGTGACTCTGAGAGATTTCACTGTGTAGCTCTATGGCTGTGTAGGATGCCATGCAGTCAGATGCCTCTTTATATTTCTAAAATTAACTTTCTGCATATGTGTGCAGAGGTAAGATGTCCTAGACTCATTTCTGTCTGCTTCCATGGGAGAGTCAGCCTGGTTTGCTCTCTTTTCTTCATTGAGGTCATATAAATGTTTAGATCACTTAAAATTAGGCCCACAACTTTTAATGCATTTAGCTTTTCTTTTGTCTTTATATAAAAAGAACCAATCTTTTATAGCCGTGGAAAATGTGCAGTTTGTGGTTGTGAGGCAAGGAAGATTTGTGTTAATTGGTGAATATACTTGAAGTTTGGGTTACTTTAACATCTTGTTTCTCTCTTGTTTTACTGGCTGGATTTTTATGACCGCAGTGAATCATGATGGGAAGATATCCGTAGTGCTGTATGCAGAAAGAAAGGATTGCCATCGTGATCTTCTTACCGCGTGACACAGGAAAATGCACATATTGCGTTTTGTTGGGCAGAAAGGGGAGGCTTTTCTGCGCTGAGGCCGCGGTTTGCGCTGAGGTTTCCGGGAGGCGCTGAGGCCGAGCTGTGTGCTGTGGTTTTGCCTTTGCAGATAACACCCTGAGCATCCTGGCCAAGCACAGCGGCTTCAGCCGGCAGAAGCAGGAGGTGTACCTGCTGCCCATCGTCATCAGCGACGGCGGCACGCCGCCCATGAGCAGCACGGGCACGCTGACCATCCGCGTCTGCGGCTGCAGCAGCGACGGCACCGTCACGTCCTGCAACGCCGAGGCCTACGTGCTGCCCATCGGGCTCAGCATGGGCGCCCTCATCGCCATCCTGGCCTGCATCATCCTGCTGCTCGGTGCGTGCTCAGGGACACGCGGCCCCTCCTGTGGGCCAGCACGAGCAGGGAGGTCGTTGTTCCCCTGTGCTCGAGTGCTGTGCCTGGTTCTGTCCCCTCAGTTTAGGGAGGGCCTTGAGACGCTCGAGCGCATCCAGAGGAGGTGACGAGGCTGGTGAGGGGCCTGGAACACAAACCCTGTGAGGAACGGCTGGGGGAGCTGATGTTGTTTATCCTGAAGAAAAGGAGACTCAGGGGTGACCTTATCAACTCTACAATGTGGCTGTAGGCAGCTGGGGTTGGTCTCTTCACCAGGCAGCACTGACAGGATGAGAGGACACAGCCTCAAGCCGCATCAAGGAAAATTAGGTCGGATATTCAGAAAAAGTTTTTCACAAAAAGAGTGATAAAGTACTGGAATGGTCTGCCCAGGCAGGTGGTGGAGTCACCATCCCTGGATGTGTTTAAAAAAAGATTGGATGTGGCACTGGGTGCCATGGTCTAGTTGAGGTGTTAGGGCATGGATTGGACTCAATGATCTTGAAGGTCTCTTCCAACCTAATGATTCTGTGAATTCTGTGAATTCTGTTCCTGGGGGCTCTCAGGAGCTGTGGGATTCCCAGAGGAGGAGTGGCACTGACAGTGCCGGCAGGATTGAATCCCTCACGTCCTTCTGTCAGCTCTGGACAGAAGCAGAGAGCAAAGTCCCGTTCTGAAGTAGTCACACACACAAGTTACAGAATAAACAGTGTGGAATGGGAAACTGAAAATCTCATCAGGGTGTTGAGCAGCAAGGTGAGCACAGTGTGGACTACACCTGATGGAAAATAGATCTGTTATATATCCTAAGACTTGTATGAATCATGGAATCATAGAATGTCCTGAGTTGGAGGGGACCCATCAGGATCACTGACCCAGCCCCTGTCCCTGCAGCCCCCCAGCAATCCCCCTGTGCATTCCTGGGGAGCCTGGGCAGTGCCAGCACCCTCTGGGGGAGCTGAACCTTGCCCTAAAACCCAACCTAACCCTACCCTGGCCCAGCTCCAGCTGTTCCCTGGGTGCTGTCCCTGTCACACAGAGCAGAACTCAGAGCTGTCCCTGCAGCCCTGCGGAGCTCTGCCCTCAGCTCCTCTGCTGCAGCTGAACCAGCCCATAGCCCTCAGCCACTCCTTGGGGCCCCTGCAGGCCCTTCCCCAGCCCAAACTCCCTCCTTTGGATGCTTTCTTATAGGTTTAGTTCTTCCCATTATATATATATATATATATATATATTTATATTTGTATATTTCTATTATGAGTTTATTTTGGATTGTAATAGCACAAGAAACACTAAAGCTTTACAAGATAAGCACTGTGGTATATTTAATAAAACATACATTTGTATACAACATCAAGCGAGGGAGAGAACAGTGAAAGGAGAGTCCTATTTCTGCACTTTGGAGCTTCACTTCAGTGACTGAGATTTACATCAGTAACTGAGGTTTCAGCATCAAGTTGCAAAAACAAGCATTACCTGTCTAGAGTTTTTTATGCATCTGTCCACAATTCTGAAATTAAACTGAGCTCTTTCTTTTTCACTTATTTCCTCACTCTCTTTTTAGTCATATGATAGGAGTCTCTTGCAACAAGTAGAAAAAACACTGATTTCCTTCTGCCATTAGGCCTATATTTTCAGAAAAACACCCTCTAATTTTTGAAAACACCGTCCCTAATGTAGATCATTATGTGAATAATGGTAGCCTGACTTCACTGATAAAGGGAAAAGCTGAGGCTCAAAAGCAGAAGTATGGGAAATCTTATTGCTTCTATAAAATTGAGCTTCAGATGTAAATACGAGCTGATATTTAAAAACTAGATAACTAATCAGAGTTTCTGATCAAATTTCCTTCACTAAAGGGGGTTGAAGTCATAGGTCTTTCAGCTTTCCACCCTTATTACTCCCAGTTCCACAAAAAACAACCTCTCACCTTCCCCAGCTGCACTCACCATGTGGTGTTTGGATTGGAAATGTTTTGCCTAATCAGCTTGTGGTGCTCTCTTTGCAGTCATTGTGGTGCTGTTTGTGACACTGAGAAGACATAAGAATGAGCCTCTAATCATCAAAGATGATGAAGATGTGAGGGAAAACATCATTCGCTATGATGACGAGGGAGGCGGAGAGGAAGATACAGAAGCCTTTGACATTGCAACTTTGCAAAATCCAGATGGAATTAATGGATTTTTGCCTCGTAAGGATATTAAGCCTGATCTGCAGTTTATGCCCAGGCAGGGTCTTGCACCTGTTCCTAATGGTGTTGATGTTGATGAATTTATTAATGTAAGGCTTCATGAAGCTGATAATGATCCCACAGCTCCGCCATATGACTCTATCCAGATTTATGGCTATGAAGGAAAGGGGTCAGCAGCTGGTTCCCTTAGCTCCTTGGAGTCCTCCACATCAGACTCAGACCAGAATTTTGACTACCTCAGTGAATGGGGTCCTCGCTTTAAAAGACTCGGAGAACTTTACTCAGTCGGAGAAAGTGATAAAGAAACTTGACAGTGGATTACAAACTTTTTCCCTGTTGACTTAATGATCATGTAATATTCTAGGGCCACTGCTGTTAGTTAAAACTAATGTGGCTTTTTGTTTTAGAGGCAAGTTTAGCGCCAGTCATCTATAAAATCAACTACATTGTAATGTTGAACCAAAAAAAAAAAAGTATATGTTAGGAGGTTAAGTCTTGTGGAGTGTGAAGTAAAGTATGTGGAGTGTCTAGAAGTCTTTGGATATTTGATATTCACTTGACCACTCTGAAGATGGAGATTTGGATCTTTGATTATCTTCAGTGAATTGAAAAGAACAAAAAAGAAATTGGTGCTCTCTTAGGAAATGGACTTGCAGGGATTTGCTGTTGAGCAGTAGCTCCCGCCCAGTATGTGTAAAGCTAAAGGTTTGTTTCTGCATTGCCAACAAAGATCCTGCCACAGAAAAGTTCAAAGCAATATCTTGGTCTTCTTAGCAATGCTGAGCAGAAATAGCATTGCCAATTCCTACTGGCTCCTACTGTGCAGTGACCATCCATTGTACATACAGTAATTGTTGGCCACGCAACCACAGACTGAATATCATCTTTAAATATTGTGTCAAGCCTTAAAATATTCACATGTTCTTAATCCATTCCAGTGATGGGTAATAAATACTACTAATGTGTAGAGATTCAGAGGCAGGGCTGCAAAACCTTGCTTCACAAAAGGATCTTTTTTTCTAGAAGAAGGATCAACCCTGTGCTTCGTCTTCTGAAAGAAAAAGCTGTGAAATGGGATGGACTTACATAAATGAAAGAATTGCTGATTTTATTGCTAAAGATCGAATTTATTTGTTTAACCTTTGAAATAAATATTTTATTGATGTCCATTATTGCTTTTATTTATTAAGACTGATAATCTATAGAGTAAGATTATGAAGAAAACTAAATTATATCAGTTAGATTTTTTTTTTTCTATATGTAATGAATGTTTCATACATGTACATTTTGAAAAGAAAAAATGACTAATTGTTGCAGGTTAAAGCAGTTCCCTGTCCATTTGCAGTAGCTGAATTTTAAGAGAATCCTGGCAGGAATTAAACATTGCCAGAGAAAACTTTTGACAGTTTTATATCTTCTTCATAAATCTAGTACCTGGTGTTTTTAATACAAGCACAAACAGCTGGAAGTAAACTGGTTCATGTGAATATTTAAACTATAGACTTTTAGAAATCCACACATTAACACAGTACAGTAAAAAAAAAAAACATGCTTATAGTTCTCCACTGTATTAGAGCAGGAACCAGTGTGTACATAATTTTACTGCTTCTGTTATTAGCATTTTTTTCTATAATATTCATAGTGATGCACCAGGGCTCTTGCACACAGAGAAAGAACACTAGAAGCTGCAAGCATACTCAATTTGTAATGCAAACTTGCCATTTAGAAGTAGCAATTGTACAAGAAAACTACGTATTACATGCAAATCATTTTAATTTTCTACTTTGTTTTGAGGCTATATTATCGTTTGTTTATTTACTCCATGTATTGTATTCAGAGAAACTCCTGTATTGTTTCCTACTTTGTGAAATATATTTTTATAAATACTTTTCTTGTTATTGCTTTTCTTTCAGGTTTACCTGGGCACTACAGAAATGAATCTGCCAGAACAACTTCATAGTTTTTTTGAGGAATGTAGTTTCTTCAAAATAATTTATTTATTAGTTGAATACAGATAAAATAAAGAAAAAAAAAGGTGAATACTTGAAACAATTTTTGACAGTCATCGCAGAATTTTGACAGTGATGGGAGCACAGGAGTTATGAGTGTCTGATTCACTGCACCATGCTGAAAAATAACCTCACATGATTTTTGTTAAAACATTGCTAGTTAAAACAACCCACCGACTTAAAGTTCCTCAATAACATTTGTTCTGCAAACAAAGAATTCCTAACACTTCACCCCCAATTTACCTGCATTTCAGATGGTGACATTGACTTTGCTTTAGCTGCAGCATGACTTGGTTTAATGACTGTGGGCAACTAATACATTAATACCACTCAGATATTTATTATAAAGATTTTATTGAAGTTCATGCAGTAGGCAATACATTTAAGTTTCACTGCATTAGAACAAAAAATGCTTTTGAATAACTGAATCTAAAACTTCTGGCCAAACACTGAACTAAACTGTGAAGTCCTCTAAGGGTAGGAAAGAAGCCATCCTGGAGATTTCAATGAAATCAAACTTATTTCTGTAACTCACTACAGGGAAAATCAAACACACTCTTACTCATCGCTTGCTCTGGGTGCCAGGGTGTTGTGGGCTGCCATGGCAGACCCATGGCAGTGTAATCAGGAAAGGGATTGAGAACTGAGCCAGTTCCTGGTGTACATCCCATGGATCATGGCATTGGCTGGGGCCACATCAGCCTTCAGGGTAAGGCACTCCATGAGTTAGAGGCTACACTGCAGAGTTTAGCAAAGCTCTTTTGTAGGGAAACTCACAAATGGAAAACCTTCTGATTGCCTTTCTGATTGAAAGTTCCATCTGAGACCACGACAGTACATTCAGTAATAAGATTTTCAGGAAAAAAATCCCATCACTGGCCCTGTAGGAGAGGCAAAGCATGACAGAAATCTCATCATTGTCAGTCAAAAAGAGATGGGAGTCACTACTGCTGGCCAGAGCTCTAAATTGGGCATTGCTAGAGCTTTTAAACAGCAATAGCTACAATGCAAAGGGGGAAAAAGAATTAATGAATTTCTGACCTGTCAATGTGTTGTTTCTTGTGTCATTGCCTCCCCAAAGGGAAATGATTAACTCTGCAAACTAAGTCCATGTAATTTGAATGTAAAATTTATGCCAATACATGTTAGAGGGTTAAATGTCAATCATTCAGTTTTCCATTACTTCTCTTTTTTTGACAATTAACTCAGCATAGAATGATTTTGGATAACAACAATATTTAGGGGATTAGATCATACTGTTCTACATTTCACATCTAGATTTAGACATATAAGTGACACTCTTTAAGCATGCAAAGGTGTAATTCATCTTTTCAACAACATTTAATTAGCAATTGACTCATTGTAAGTGACAAGGAAAATGCATTAAATTAGAATTATTAATACTGATAAATTTGAGAAGTAAATACTCAAAATCTTTTACAAGTGCCAAGTGCCTTAGAGTCCCATTGATCCTGTTCTGCCTTCACCTGGCTGTGCCTCACATCGTTTGTCACAACCACTGAAGTAAATCATCCCACTGGATGATTTACTGGAATTCTGAGAGCTGGAATTCTGTGCAAGGACACAAAATTCAGCTCAGGCATTTCAATAGGAAAGCACTGTGAAGGGAGTGTGTGTACGTGTTTATTAAATATAACTGGGATGGCTGAAGGTCCTCAGCGAGTCCTGTCCTTTACAGCAGCTGAAAGCAGAGCCTGTTTGTGTGTCTGACCTTGAAATCAGATCACACAAGGTCATTTAAATACATTTCTCACCCGGTATCATTACACCTTTTTGTCTATGATGACTTTGAAATGACTGTGAAATACAGAGGAGAGTAAAATGGCTCAAGACTTTCATTTAAATCAGCAGTTGCTGATCACAGGAGAAACATTTAACACTATGGCAACTCCAAATCCCATCAGCTCTCTGGCAGTGCAGCAGTGACAATTCTCAGTCTGGAGAACAGACAGGATGTCTGCAAAATAGTCTGCTTGGAATAACTCTATTTGTACAGCTCTGCTAGAGATGGAGCTGCTGATTTTAATAGAAAGAGAAAAATAAATCAGCTCTACTACATCCATGCAGTTCCATCTACTTACAAATGTGTGTGGCAATTTTTTTGAACAGCCTGCATGGTCATGGAATTCTAGAACTGGATAAATGGGTTTAGAAAGCTTCTCCAAGGTCTGTCTAGTCGGGGGAATTTTTGGCAGGTAGCCTTTTCCTGTATCTGATTTTCTTGGGATATCATTTCAGTCAGATGGAGCTGTTTATTTGCTGTATTTCTCCTCTTTTGTCTGCTCCTCTCTTCACCATGTCATCTATCCTGAGCTGGAATACTGGGAGTATGATGTTAGGAAGTTCATTAAGACCATGTAGCTCTTTTTCAGCTGCTCAGTGTTCAGCGACTAGAAAATGGAGCTCACCCAGGAGAGTGAGGTTCACCAAGCTCCCTTCCTCCTCTAGGGAAGACTGAACAGTCTGAGTTACTCATACAAAAGGACTGTCCCAGTATTTAAATTATGCTGAAAAATCTGAAGCTAATGATGGTGCTTTTTAATTAATAGAAAAATATAAATAATAGGAAAAAAAGTTCATTAGTGGCAGACATTCACAAGTGTTTCTGATCAAGAGAAGTGAAAAGTTCATCAAAAGTTCATCAGAACTGCAGTGCCAGGACACAGGGAATGGCTGCCAGTGGCAGAGGGCAGGGCTGGATGGGATCTTGGGCAGGAATTGTTCCCTGGCAGGGTGGGCAGGGCTGGCACAGGGTGCCCAGAGCAGCTGTGGCTGCCCCTGGATCCCTGGCAGTGCCCAAGGCCAGGCTGGACAGTGGGAGGGGTCCCTGCCATGGCAGGATGGGGTTGGATGAGCCCTAAGCCCCCTTCCAAACTGGGCTATCCTGTGATTCTGTGTAAAAAGATTGCTCAAAAAATTATTTTTCAGATTCGGAAGTTTTTAACAGCAGCAAGATGTTCTAGTAAATTGAAGCTTAGCAAAAATAAAATGTAAGAAGTAAAAAGTGTGAACATTCACTGTTGTTAGTTTGCTTTCAGACCACAGCACGTGTCATTAGCAGAAAATAGAAAGTACTGATGGAGTGAGCAATGAAAGCTTTCTGTGCTTCTATCATTCAGATAAGTTGGACTTGTATTATTTCTACATTTGTATACTATTTGTGCAAGATAATATTCTGGCTTTGCAGAAGGTGGAAACCAATTTAACTTGCTGTATAATTCACAGTGATGGGTTTTGTAATCACACTGCAAAATGAGTCTAGCTGCTGTATTATACAATAC